TTTTCTACGGCCTTCGGCCGGTTCCTTAACAAATTTTATATAATATTGATTTTTCAATAGTTATCTTTATATCATCTCTGTTAAAGTTAGCTGAACAATTGGAAATATTAATTCGAAATTTCGCCAATATTTTGTGTTCTATTAGTGTCTAACCACTATAAGCCAGCAGAAATGGAAAAATATAATTAACAATATTTTAACCATATTTCTGATTAATAAGCGACTGAAAGCATTATTCTGAAAATTTTATCAATGTTTTGTGTTCAATTGTAAATTAATTCAACCCATTCGGTAAGAAAATAAATTTGCCCCTTTCCCTCCCCAATTTCCAATTTTTTATGATCACTCATTATATCTTATTCTATGTTAAGAATAATTATTTTAATTAAATTTTTACATATAACAAAATTTTACAGAAAATTTCATTATATGTTGTATTCCATATCAAATCAACTGAAGATTCAACCCGACCCTCTGCGATTTTTTTTAAAATTTGCATGATGGTAGTATATACACTAACTAGCAATAATATAAAATTTTAATTCTTAACTCAGCTTACTTCATGAGATATGGCCATCTTTAGAAACGCGAAAAGTTCAAAATACACCATATTTAATTTTAAATATCTCAAAAAGTAATTAAGCCAAAGGTATAATTTAAATTTTATTAAATAACTCTAGAATAGCCCTTTAATATGATATAAAATTTATTATATTAAAAATAATTTTATTACCAAAAACCGGAAATGGTTATAAAATAAAAATTTGCCTTTTTTTTCTTTCAAAATTTTTTAACAAATAGACATTATATATCTTAATATTTGTACAAAATCCTAGATCGGGACCATTACTGGGCCAATAGTTATTACGCTTTAAATATATATATATATTTTTTATTAATAGCTAATAGATCGTCAAGAATGATGGGGAATCAGAATTTTCTTCTTTATTCAATGATGGATGAATCAGAAATTTTCATATCTTATGAGGTTTTATTCTAAAATTTATATATATAGATAAGAGGTTATTCTTAAATTCACCAATATATTTTTAAATATGTTAATGAAGTATATATTTTGTAATTTTAATATATGTGCACAATAAAAAATCTTTTAAACTAAATTTTTATTCATTTCTATTTGTAATTTATAATCTAAAAAAATACATTCTTGCTAGATGAGTTTTGCCATAACTTAATTTCGATTCCCTACAAAACTTTTCTATCAAGAATATATTTAGATTATAAATTACAAATACAAATGAATAAAAATTTATTTTAAAAGATTTTTTATTGTACACATAAATTGAAATTACTAAATATATACTTCATAAACATATTTTATCAAAAATAATGGAAAATTTTAGAATAACCTTAAATCTAAATAAATATAAATTTCTGATTCACATATCATAAGATAGGAAAATTTTTGACTCCATCAAATAAAGGTAAAATTTATTATTCATATATCATGGTAGTGTTTACAACGGTCCGGTCTCGCCCGGTCCGGTCATTTTTTTAAAATGAGACCGGAATAATGGACCATTAAGTCATGAGACCAGACCGTGGTCAGGTACGGTCTGCCCTCTAAAAAAATGTTTTTTTTTGTTAAGCTATAAAAGTTTTATTCTGCATGAAATTTATTAAAATGAAATGTGTTAAATTACCAATATTTTAATTATATCATCAAACCATATTTATTATATTATTTATACAAAAAGATTAAACCAATACAAATTTATTGAATATAATTTAAATCAATTTGATTAGCATATTTATTAAGCTTTTGTTTTTGAATGTTTATAAATAAATATTCATATCGTCTAAAAAATAAAAAATTATGTCATTTTTTACCCATCCAATTCCAATACAATATTTCGTTAATCATGAGTTTTTATTGTTTCTAGCGCTAATCATAACCAAAAGTAGGTTTATTTGATATTTATATTTAAAATTATTAGCTCTCAATTTGATAAATATGCATAATTTACTTGTGCTTGAAGAATTGGGAATATCTGGAGACATATTTTACATGTTTTCCCAGAATTATCTTTTCAAAAAATTTATATAATTCTTTAACATATTTTCAAATTTGATTTTGATTGATTTTTTTCATTTGCACTACTAATAATATTTTCTAAATCAACAGTTATTCCTAGGCTGAAGGTGGAGATCAATGATATTATCATCTTCAATGATTTCAGTTTCCATCTCTAATAAATTAAATTACTTGACAAATGAATGAAACGGAAGAATAAAAAAAGTAAACGATGAATGAGATATTATAAAGTGTTAGGCATTAAAATAATCATATTCATAGTAAACTTTTATCTTTTTTAATCGGTCTTTGGTTGAACCGAACCATCGGACCGTGTTGTCGAACTGGACTGTCCCGTCGGACCCAATAATAAGATGAGATCGAACTGGACTGGACCGTCGGTGCATCACTACATCATTAAATAAAGGAGAAAATTCTAATTTCCCAGTTATTCTTGACGGACTATCAGCTAGTTTTCTAATAATCTCCACATCGATATTCATACGCACTCACATATCGCGCATTTAAATCATGAATATTTATTTTGAAGCAACATTAATATCACCATTACTACAGTCACAGCCCTTATAAATATACTTAAAAATATATTTTACCGATTTAATAGATGTACAAATTTATACGTTAATTTGAATTAAATTTTAACATTAGATATCTATTATATGGAATAGCATAATGATTATCCATAGGTTTACCGAAAGAATATTTATACTATTATCCTTTTATAGTATGAAAACCCATCTATTTGGTCTTGTTTCCGATTGAAAATCCTTGGGAAATTTTTTGGAACATGGCGATTTGGGGTTAAATATCCCACCCATGTGTCATAATATGAGTAACAATCTGAAAAAGTTTAGGTTCGAGAATTTTATCTGGCATTTCGGCACTTTGGAATTCGATTGTATAAATAAAAGCCATAGATTTACCAAATAAATTTTTTTATTTATATCGAACAATAATTCATTTAATTTTAATTTAAAAACACGGGCCATTAAATCAGGTCTATCTGAAGGAATTTGCCCGGGAAATATATTTTCCTTAATTTCACGCCAATTAGGATTACATGTAAAAGTAATAAACAAATCAGGTTAACCAAATTTGAGAACAATGGCCATTGCATCATGATAAATTTCTTGCATATTTCTTTGAGAACCTTTAAAAGATGATGGTAATATTATTGTTTTACTGGGAATTATATTTTTGAACTTGTTTCCAGTCCATTAATCCTGATATTCATCTACTCATAATTTTGGCTGATTTTGTCTAATAAAATGTAAATTATTTGCCTCGACCTGTAAATAGGAATCAACAATATATTGTTGGGATAATTTCCCAGCAAAAGGATTGGGCTGAATTTTTCACGAATTGTTAATCTAAACATTTAAAACTGTGGTAGTGAGATATTTGCTCTTCTACGCCTTAATCTGGGTTCCAACCAGGTCACCTAAAGGAAATAATAGAGGATATACCATTGGATCAAGATTAGGATGTAATATATTTATATTTATGAGATTACTACCATTACCTCGACGATAGACTTTGATATCCCGTTTAAACGGGGGTTCACCATCATCACTTGTAAAAATCATAGCAACTTCATCTATATTAGGGATGTTGTATCTTCGCTTGTCACTTGTGCAATCTGCACAAAAAATCATATTGATTATTTGATTTAGACGATTTTCTCAAATCGCTCTATTTTTTTCTTCTTTCTCAATTTCTCCCAACGTTTTCAAGCTAATGGGTGATTCTGTCTTATTTAAATATCTAATATTTCAAGAGATCCTCATTGCAATCTGAATCTTTCATATGTAACCAGCCATCAATAGCCGCCTTTGTTGTTTTAAGGACATATAATTGTGCAAACTTGGGAGGCATCCCAGTGGAAGGATATAAATGAGATGTCCTTTGATAAATTTGTCCATTAACTCTAAAACAATATGGACCCGGTTTAAACTATTAGAAATCTGTGCACCCATCTATGCAAACGCAAGAGAACTATTATAGGAACAGGTGTTTCATAAAGTTTGAATGAAATTCATTGTTAGAATTTGATAAAAGGTCTTGTAAAAAAGGAATGATTGATGATATCTTAACTTTACTTATGAGAGCAATATAAATTGTAATTACAATTTATACTTTTGTAAATAAAATAAATCTGAGGCCTACTAAAAATTAAACTTACAATTTATTATTTTTGTAATTAAAACAAATCAGAGACCAGCAGGCCAGACTCTGTTATAAACATATGCCAGACCTATAATAATTTTTTTTAACTATTCGTGCTGGGCAATTTCTGATTCCCATCATCAAATAGAAATTTATTATTTATCCATCAACGAATAAGGAAAATACTCTGAAAGCCCGTTATTCTTGACGAACTATCTAGTTAAAAATAATGTAGAATATTAATGTCATGTTAGTATGTTCCAAAAATCAAACACCCTTCCTCCCTTTACCTATTAGAACTTTTTAAATATGATTTCAACTTTATTTTATGATAGATAAATCAGAAAAATAAAGGTAAATATATGAATCACAGCTAGAGATGTAAAGGTAGGGAAATTTCCCGGGAAATAACGGGTATTTCCCGGGAATATTCCCCGGGAACATTCATATTTTCCGGGAATATTCCCCGGGAACATTCATATTTTCCCGGGAAATTTCCCGAATTTTCCCTTAATATAAATATATTTATTTGCAAAAATTATGATTTATATTTTATAAAATATAATATTTTATTTCAATAATTATGATTTATAATTTAATTTATAAATAATTTTTATTTTCCTCGTGAGTCTTTAAACTTATTTTTTTTATTAGTGCAATCATTGAGGGTTGGTATAACTTTCATATAAAAACCTTTCATATAAATAAGAACGCCTTTATTATTTAACAGCAATAAATGGTGTCATATAAAGTTATTTTATTTTTTTATTCAACACGCTTGTTTTACAAACAAATATTAAAAAAAAGTTGTTTATTATTTTTTTTAATAAATTTTTTTTTACGTATTTTTTTTAATAAATTTTTTTACGTATTTTTTTTATCTAATGGAAAAAATGGTAATTTTAAAATTGATGCTTATTTAATATATTTTTATTTAATAGGAATTAAGATATAATTTAGAACTAAAAGATTTTTCTACTTTAAAACAGGTTGTGAGTAATTATGAGAAGAATAATCATCAGCTCATTATTCTTCTCAAAAAGTATTAATTTCAGATAAAAATTCATTAATTTTACAAGAATGGGATAAGAATATAATGAAAAATATTAAAATGCCCATAAAATACAAACGAGGATCAATACACAAAAGGCCTAAAAAAATGCAAAAAAAGAGTATTATTTAAAAATTATAAAATATTTCACAGTTAGCAATTTTTGAAAATGATATTATAATATACATGTATTTTAAAAAAAGATTTTTCCCAAGCTAATCAAAATATGACTGAAACGATTAACCTACCACATTCCAATACAGAAAACACTCAACTATATGGTATCACTAAAAATTAAATGCTTACTGTTTATTAAAATACATTAGCAGTCAAATTATCTTCATCTCAAATTATTTCAAAAAATATGTTAGGCACTCAAGTTAAGATACCAGAGAGTAAACATTTTACTCAACAAAAAAATAGCAACAAACTTATATTCCCAATATCATTTTCAAAATATACTAAAAAATTTAGGCCCTCAGTCAAAAACTATTCCAGCTAGTATATTTTGTGTTTTAATTTTTATTATATAAAATAAAAATAGCATTCGAATTCTCTTCATCTCAAAATATTTCAAAAAATATATTAGGCACTCAAATTAAGCTACCAAATAGTAAACATTTTTCCTTTATTTTATATAACAAAAATTATAGCAACCAAAACTTTAGACTACACTGGATATTCTCTTCAAAATCTTTCAAAATTATTTTAGGAAACCATAAATAAAACAAATAATTATATATTTAGAATGTTTATATTAAATTTAAAAATATATAGGAACCAAATACAATCTAATAGAGCTTCCAGAAAACAATACAATCAAGATTTCAAAAACCTAATAAAAAGCAATTTATAATTTATATTGTATTCTAATATATCAAATTTTATTTCTTTATATATATTTACAATTATAATATATTATTGTATTTTATAATACATAATTTTAATTATATATATATAGAATTATAATATATTATTGTATTCTTACAAATTTTATTTCTATATATATATTTTCAATATATTTCTAAAATATAGAATAAAAAATATAAAATAGATTCTTGTGTTATAAATAACAAACATTCAATATTTTCGACAAAAAAAACAATAAAAATAATTCTTTATGTTAAATTATATTGTTTAAGATATATTCATAGAAGGATTCATAGAATAGTTTTTTGCAATGCCTGATCACCATTAAAAATATTATAAGAATTACATAATATAATAAATATTAAAATAAAGTAAATTTTTAGGTTTGAATGATTTAAACAAAGTATAAAACAGATTGTGAAAATCCTATAAATAGAAATATTAGGAGTAACATAATTAGCAAAGTTATAATATTAAGAATTATTTGAAACAATTTATTGAAGAGATCAAAATTTGAAGCCTTTCCTAAATTTTCAATGACATAAGAATAAGCTGTAGACATTGATGTTCATGTTTTTCACAAGTCACTTGCAATTTTTATAGTATCTTTCAGCCAATTTATTTTTATGTTATGTAAAAAAAATAATAGCATATTTGGGATTTGATTAAGAAATCTGTCACCATGTCTTAATAAGCTAACAAAAATATTTTACTTTTATATATAAAATATCAAACTGAATAAATATTATTTAGTAAATTTTGATATTACATTCACCTTACGATTAAAATAAAAAATTGTATTTATAAATCTTAGAACATTAAGCTTAGGCCATGCATCTATATAAATATGAAAAGCATAACAAGTCTGGTGTACCAGGATATATAGGTTGTTTTACTTTATTAACATGATATGACAAAATTGCATGAAGGTTAATTTATATAATGAAATATTACATTTTTAATAGTATCAAAAGATTATAATAAAAACCTAATTCATGATTAAATAAGACATTCAATTAATCCCATTAATTGACCCTATTGTTAAATTCCTCAACATCTATAAAAAATTTTAACAATTGGAATATAAATGTTTTAAATATAATAATTTGATAAGGTATTCTTCTCATAATTACTCACAAACTGTTTTAAAGTAGAAAAATCTTTTAGTTCTAAATTATATCTTAATTTCTATTAAATAAAAATATATTAAATAAGCATCAATTTTAAAATTACTATTTTTTCCATTAGATAAAAAAAAATATATAAAAATATTTATTAAAATACGTAAAAAAAATTTATTAAAAAAAATAATAAACAACTTTTTTTAATATTTATTTGTAAAACAAGCGTGTTGAATAAAAAAATAAAATAACTTTATATGACACCATTTATTGCTGTTAAATAAAGGCGTTCGTTAAATAAAGGCGTTCTATAAATAATTGTGACTTTATATGGTTAATGAGTGAATGTATGGAAATATTCTACAAAATTTATTAAAATGTAATAAAACTCTTATTATTTAATATATTAATACGGAATCACGTGGTCGAGTCCGGCCTCCTATATATTATCCCCCCCAAGGATGGAACCACCAAGTTAGATTAAGAAAAAAAACATGACCATTTCCAGGATTCGAACTCGGGACCATGGGATAAGGAAGCCAAGCTCTTGCTTATTAGGTCATAGAGGCTTTCCAAAAATCACGATTTTTCAAATATATATTATAAATACGTTTAATTTTTTTATAACCAATGGGTATAAAGTCGCAATTATCACAACCAATCATAAAAAAAGTCGCAATTATCACAACCAATCATAAAAAAAGTCGCAATTATTCGGTTAATGATGCTTGGTACCAAAGGCAGTAACGAGCAAATAGCGATTTTACAATTTTTATTTTGATGGGTACTATCAATTGTGTATTTTTATTTTTTAACGATACGAATCAAAAACGAAACTAGTATATGTCCGATACGAAACTAGCTTATAATTTTTTTAACAACAATGGAAAGCCATTTTGATTTAGGATTAAACGATAGTCAGGTAATATTAATATTTAGATAATTTTTTGCATTATATATTTATTCTATATTTTATAATTCTAGATGTTAGGTGATGAGTCCACTAATATGTTTGGGTCAGTAAATACAAATATGGAGGTAATATTTTCAATTATTTCAATATAATGAGCTATTTCTCTTTTAAATTTTTTGCAATATTTATATTTTTTTGCATTATAAATTATGCTTATAATCAGGAATATGATATTCTATATTTTATAATTCTAGATGGTAGGTGATGAGTCCACTAATATGTTTGGGTCAGTAAATACAAATATGGAGGTAATATTTTCAATTATTTCAAAAATTTTTTGCAATATTTATATATTTTGCAATATTTATATTTTTTGCATTATATATATTTTTTGCAATATTTATATTTTTGCATTATATATATTTTTTGCATTATATATTATAATCAGGAATATGATATTCTATATTTTATAATAATTCTAGATGGTAGGTGATGAGTCCACTAATATGTTTGGGTCAGTAAATACAAATATGGAGGTTATATTTTCAATTATTTCAATATAATGAGCTATTTCTTTTTAAATTTTTTACAATATTTATATTTTTTTGCATTATAAATTATGCTTATAATCAGGAATATGATATTCTATATTTTATAATTCTAGATGGTAGGTGATGAGTCCACTAATATGTTTGGGTCAGTAAATACAAATATGGAGGTAATATTTTCAATTATTTCAAAAATTTTTTGCAATATTTATATTTTTTGCAATATTTATATTTTTTGCATTATATATATTTTTTGCAATATTTATATTTTTGCATTATATATATTTTTTGCATTATATATTATAATCAGGAATATGATATTCTATATTTTATAATAATTCTAGATGGTAGGTGATGAATCCACTAATATGTCTGGATCAGTAAATACAAATATGGAGGTAATATATTCAATTATTTCAATATAATGAGCTATTTCTCTTTAAATTTTTTGCAATATAAAATATACTCATTTAATTTTTTACAAAATAGATATTTAATAATTATTCTAGATGTTAGATTTTGGGGCAAGTTTTAATTCATTCGAGGAATTAAAGACTGCTATCTCTAACTATGAAAGAAAAGTGAATGCTAATTATAATATACATCGGTCAGATGCTCTAAAAAATTGTACAGAGCAAATGAAAAATCAATATATTTATAAAAGAATATGTTATATCTGTAAACAAGGTGGTATTTTTAAGACTAAAGGAAAAGGTCTAAGAAATTCAAAAAGCTTAAGACAAAATTGCACTAGTAATTTTGTTGTCAAGTTGATTAAAAGAGGTACAAATCAATTGGTGGTTACTCGTTTTCATGACACACATAACCATGAATTAGGTAATTATTTATTTTGTTATTTTGCCAACAAATATCAATATTATATAAGCTCTTTCTCATCAACATAAATTTAAATATTTTAGATAGCAACCTATTTAAAAGGTTATTTAAACAGCGTAAATTAAATGATAAAGAAAAAGAGTATATTATAGCTGGACTAAAATATGATGGCAATATTTCAAAAATCCAATCAGATATTCAAAAATTAGGTAAATTTACAACAAAAAGAGACCTGTATAATTTAAAAAAATACATGATTCCAATGAATTATCAACCCTAATTACCACAATAAAAAAAGATAATCCAAGTAATATTATAGAAGTGTTGGTAGAAAATGGCAATTTTAATGCTTTTTATTTCCAAACTCCTAAGATGAGGGAATACTTTGACTTCTTCCCAGAAATATTATTAATTGATGCCACCTATTCCTTAAATAAATATCTATTGCCAGTGTTTACTTTGTTTGTTGTAGATGGGGATATGCAAACAAGATTTGTTTGCATATGGGTTGTTAAATCAGAAAATTATTCTATAGTTAAAATGATGTGCAATATTTTTAAAAATTACAATTTAAAACATGATAAAATTCGATGCATTATATCGGATAAGGACTTTGCTGACAGGCATGCCTACAAAGATGCCTTTCCAGAGGCATCATTAGAGATATGCTTATTCCATGTTTTTCGGGCATTTAACCGAGAAATAACAGTTAATAAAAGAAACATTTCAAAAGAACAAGTAAAAATTGTTAAAAATCTCTTAAGGTCTTTGGTTTATGCCAACTCTCCTGAAAAATATTTTATACAATATCAAAATTTATTGCAATTAAATATTGAATCTATTACCAAGTATTATAATAATAACTGGCATACAATAAAAGAAGAATTTTGTATGGCTTGGACAGGTCAAACAACAAATTTTTTAATTTATACCAATAATCGTACTGAAGGAATGAATAGGATTCTTAAAAGCATTATTAAAAAATATTCCTCGCTTTAAATTTTTATAATGATTTAATGATTTGCATCAATATGAATGATCAGGAAAATGATCATCGCACTATAATGGGTTTAAATAGACCATCAAATTTTAAATTGGATTAGAATGAAAGGAAATTTGAATCCTTACTTACTAATTTTGCATTTAAAATTGTGTACAATGAGCTGAAATTATCAAATATATTAATTAAGAATCATATAGATGATGATTCTACTAATTTGCTTCATATACAGGGACAACAAATAGATGTAGACCAAAATCAATGTAACTGTGGACTCACAAAATCGTTATTGCTTCCTTGTAGGCATATATTTTTTTATAGAAAGAAAAATGATATAAATATTTTTACCCCAAATCTTTGTAATGAAAGATGGTATCGAAATTATTTCACACCCCTTACTGGAGAAATTAGGAGTGATAATTATATTAAAAATATCATAGAAAACTGTAATAATGATAATAATAATAATGATATTAATAGTGAAATTAGTGATACTGATTCACAAAGAAATATAAAAATACACGAATTACCTAAGAAAATCATAACAACCAAAACTCAAAAGTTTAAACATTTTCATGAACTGGCCCTTCAAATATCAACATTTGCATCCGAATTGCCAAAAGATCAATATAATAAATATTATGATTTTTTTTCACAAATATATGAGGCAAGGGGAAATATTCCTGAAATATTTAAAGAAAAAAATAAAGATAGTAACCAAAATTCTGAAGGAGCTTACTTGATAATTTATCTCTTTTAAATTCAATAAAGATGCCACCCTTAAAAATGGGATATTTGAAACAAATGGAGATAAAAAAAGGAAAAAGTTTTTAATTATTCTTTAATATCTAAAAAATTAATTTTTTAAGCATGTGGAAATGTTAAAATTACCAGTCATATAAGCAATGGCATATCTGAACCTGACCATAACTCTGGTAACTAAATTATCTTTTATCTTTTGAATATTTTTATTTAGGCAAGGAAAATGAAATGAACAAAAATCCTCTCAGTAAAATATATATTTATTATGGCATCATTGTATTTTTTTATAGCTTCTCTACCAAAGAATAATAGAATAGCAGTATCTGAGTTGCAACCTGTTTTTGTAAATTTAACCAATCACTTTCAAAATATGGGACACCCCCCAAAGCAATAGATGTTATTCAAAACTCTGGTAACTAAATTATCTTTTATCTTTTGAATATTTTTATTTAGGCAAGGAAAATAAAATGAACAAAAATCCTCTCAGTAAAATATATATTTATTATGGCATTATTGTATTTTTTTATAGCTTCTCTCCCAAAGAATAATAGAATAGCAGTATCTGAGTTGCAACCTGTTTTTGTAAATTTAATCAATCACTTTCAAAATATGGGACCCCCAAAGCAATAGATGTTATTCAAAACTCTGGTAACTAAATTATTTTCAATATCATATTAATATTTTAATTCTTTAAGTAAATATGAAATTTATTATAACTTACTTTTTATTTATAGGTTTAAGAAATAAAACAAATTTACCAACTTATCAATTGTCAAAAATTGTAACCACAAATTCCTTCAAAAATCAAGATGAAAATTCTGAAATTCTATAAAAACATTATGCTTTTTAAAGAAATAAATATATATTTTTTTATATTACATATTTTTAAATAAATGTATAATTATAATAAATTATATGATATGATTAAGTAGAATAAATAAATTATGTGTTTATTATTATTTTTTGAGAAAATTACAAATATTAGCACATCTTTGATTTAAAATTATAATAAAGTTTAATTAAAATAATTAACCATTATGATATATAATCTTATATTTATGCCTTTTTCTACTACATAAAGGGCCTATTGGGTATTAGTTGAGGTTTCCATTCTGGAGTAAAACATTAAAATATTTGTTAATTCTAATTTCTTGCCTGTAGAAATGATTTTAATAAAATTAAAATAACATGTAAATTTTAAAATGAAGATTTTGTTCAAGTGATTACAAATTAGCATTTTTATCAAAATTGATTTGTCATATGATGTATAAATTATAACAAATAGCCCAGTCTAAGATATCTTTATAATTTTATCTAAGCCTAAAATATTCCATTTATTATCTAAAAAAATAAGAAATATATTAAAATTAGGTTTAATAAATGGTTAAGTGTCAAATGATATTATACTTGTACCAACAATTAACCTTAATAATTGAATGAAAACAGAAGATATTAATAGAATAATATAAGGAAAATCATGGAATCTTACACAAAAAGTAATAATTGTCTTGCAGCTTAGTTAAGAAAAAAAAGTTTGGCCCTGATCTGATAGGGCTGTCTTAACTTGAAATCCAGTAAAAGTATACTGTATTGTGCAAACATATTCCAGCTGTGATTAATAAAATAATTAATGAGATAGTCATCAAGCATATTATTTTATACAAAAATAACTGTGAACCACATTAAAAGTAATCATTAGTATGTTATAAAAATTTATATAAGGCAAACTTATGTTTTGTTATATATCTATAAATTTATAAAATTAGACAAACTTAAGTTTTGATTGTTATTATATCTTTAAATTTATATAATTAGACAAACTTAAGTTTTGATTGTTATTATATCTTTAAATTTATATAATTAGACAAACTTAAGTTTTTGTTATTACTTCTCTAAAAAATTTAGCCTCAGCAAAGGTATTTCATCTATTTATTATTTGTCTATGAATCATAAAAAATTAATAAGTATAATCTATATTGCAAAATATTTAATAAGTATAATCATATTGCAAAATATTTAATAAGTATAATCATATTGCATAAGTATAATTTAAGAAAAAATTGTTTGAAGTATCACATTTGTATTGATTGATAGTCTATTAAGAAATAATTGCATGAAATGTATTGACTGATCTATAGATATAAAGATTATAAGATATAATTATATTATCTTATGTATTTATCTAAATATTAATATTACCTGACTATCGTTTAATCCTAAATCAAAATGGCTTTCCATTGTTGTTAAAAAAATTATAAGCTAGTTTCGTATCGGACATATACTAGTTTCGTTTTTGATTCGCATCGTTAAAAAATAAAAATACACAATTGGTAGTACCCATCAAAATAAAAATTGTAAAATCGCTATTTGCTCGTTACTGCCTTTGGTACCAAGCATCATTAACCCAATTATTCTCAGTCGCAATTTTTTATATGAAAGGTTTTTATATGAAAGTTAGGGAAACGATCATTGAGTGCAATTTTTCAAATCTATAATTTTAAAAGTACAAAAATAAAGGTAAAATGTTTCACATTATATTCTCATACATAATATTAATGTGATATATTATAGAATTATTAATAATTAATGATATATTATAGAATTATTAATAATTAATGATATATTTAGATTTGATATATAATAGTGCGCACAAATTGAGCGTTTGCAGTATGTTTGTTAATGTAACGCATCTTTGTTTAGATTGAAAGCAGTATGTTTTTTATTAAAGTTTTTTTATAATTTCTTAAACAAAAAGAGTTTATTTCTTACCTTAAGGTAAAATAAGGAAGTTTAATTATATTTGTTTATTTAGATTTCCTAAGAATTTATGATTCAATCAGGGTTTTCAAATTTTTTTGTGGCCTTGGATGCAAAACATATGTATATAAATGTTTCTTTGTTTATCCTACCTTAATTTATATATTTATAATAATCTATATATTTTAATAAAAATGTGAAATAAATTTTGAATAGTTTGCATATTTATATATTTTTTTCAAGACACTAGATATAAAAATAAATAGATTTAGAAATATTGCTAATCAAATTTCAAATTTATGATATAATTTGATTAAATCTATCTAATAATTGCTAAATAAATTTTGAATAGTTGCTTATTTATATATATTTTACGAAATAATTTTAATTACTACATTTTTCAATCTTTAATTATGAAAATGTACACCATAATAAGAGTATTAAATGTCTTATTTAATAAAATAATTTTAATTATATTTTTCAAAAATGGACACTAGAATATGGAATAATATAACTTTATTATATATAAATAAATAGAATTACGAAAAAAAACAAATCAATTTTCATAGATTTAATTTCATTAAATAATGAGGTTTGATTTGCAGGTATATCTGTTGAATTTGGAGGCCACAATTCAATTTTCCATTTAAGTATAATACAATGGAGATACTTCATTTTTGAAAAAATATTTGTTTGATTTATATTTTATAGAGAAACATTCTATAATAATGTTAAATTTATAGATAAATATATATTTTACTGGCTCTCAAGGCACCCTTTCCAAAAGAGTCAATATATCCAACAATGCATTTAATTTTAACCCACTTGCCTTCCTTTGGTATAATTTCTTTAGGACTAAAACTATCCTCTATTGTTGGCTCCATGAATTTAATGTAATCATACCATCTGTATGAGAGTGAGCCAGAAGCTCCTGAAACCTTGCACAATTATCTTGGTCATGCTACAGTTGTATCATGCAATAGAAATTCCATCCCCAAGCTATTAAAAATATAATTTATCATTATTTATATATATTTACCTTAATTAAACTACTGGTTAATAAACCATCTAATACTAATATAGAATTCTTATGTCTGGACGCTGCTGGCTCCAGACCATTTGTTGAGTTTCCAGTAAGGTACAAATTTTTTTTAGTAACCTTATCATCCCTTCTAAAATTATAATATGTATCCTAAAATTATTAAAATATAAATTCCAAAATTATATAAATAATCATTTCTAAAATTATATAAATATCAATTAATATATTCTAAATAATATAATATCAATTAATATATGAAATAAATTTTACCTACAATTTGTATCCATTTTTAAATTTTAGCGCAAAATTAAAAAAGCTTTGAAAAAATCTAACCAGTTTGCTTTTTTATTAACGTTTGCCGTAAAAAAATCCAAGCTGCACTCTACCATATTAGCTTTTAAAACGGAGAGTTGCAACGCTCAATTTGTGCGCACTATAAGTATCATTATATGTTAATCATACTATATAACTGATATAATGATTTATGATGTTTAATATATTTTAATCATACTATATAACTGGTATAATGATTTATTGATGTTTAATTTAAATTAATATGATTGCAATATTTTATAGATGCCTCGGAAATCTTCCAATATCTGGAAACATTTTATTAAAGATAGAGCTAATAACAAGAAAGGATATATATCAATATGCAAATATTGTCAATTAACATATAATTTCCCAAATTCAACAAAGATGTCTCAGCATATCAAAAATTGTCAAGGGTATATTAACAGTTTACAATTTAATGAAGTTGATCGTGATAATAATAATTCTACTGAAGAGGATGTTGTAGTATGTTTACCAGATTCCAGTAATCCTAATAAAATTATATCCCAAAAAAACATAAATAAAACCATTCTAAATACTTTTAAAGAAAATACCAATAATTTTAATGCTGGCACATCTAAAATTAAAAATATTTTCGACACTATAACCAAAAAAAATCAAACGCATTGACAGTGCTTTGGCATTGGCTATTTTTATGTCAAATTGCCCTTTTAATTTAGTTGAAAATAAATATTTCATTAATTTTTTAAAATTAATGCGTCCAGCCTATAAAATTCCTTCTAGACATGCAATTAGTAAAACATTACTAGATTTTGAATACATTAAAGTGAAAAATATTATTAACAATAAATTCAATAATTTAAAAAATTTTACTCTCATAAGCGATGGCTGGACAAATATTCGCGGAGAGTCCATTATTAATTTTATAATAATGACTCCAGAACCAAATTTTTTTAAATCCATTGACACAGGTTCCAGTGCTCACACTGGTGAATATATCGCATCTAGGTTTATCAAGGTAATAGAAGAAATTGGTTGTCAAAAATTTATCTCACTAGTAACTGATAATGCAAAGAATATGAAAAAGGCCTGGAGTCTTGTTAAGGCAAAATATAATTATATTGAATGCTTTGGATGTGCCGCACATGGGTTGAATCTGCTTATTAAAGATTTATGCCAAATACCTTTTATTGAAAAGATCATCAAAAAAACCAAGCAAATAATTAAATATATAAAATTTCATGGTATATTATTAGCAACTTTTAAAGAAAGGCAAATATTGAAAGGATATAAATCTTCCTTAAAAATTCCAAGTCCGACTAGATGGGGAGGTTTTGTTATAATGTTGCAAAGTGTTGTGAAAAATAAGGAAGTTTTGCAAGAAATTGCAATTTCTAGTTTATTTACAAACAAACAAAGAAGGCTTATTATATTAGACAAAGAAGGATACTGGGATAAATTAGAGTCTGTACTGACCTTTTTGGAATTTATTTATAAGAAAATTATATTTGTAGAATCGGATTCAGCGGTATTATCTGACGTTCCAGAAATATTTTGGGACATAAAAGATAAACTCAATTCATCAACTTTTATTTGTAATGAAAATGATTTGAAAAGTGTTAAGATGCATATTAAAAAATGAAAGAAATTTCGTTGCCGAGAATATCATTATGCAACAAATCTTCTGGATCCTCGATATTATGGTGTGAAATTAACAGACCGTGAATTAACAGCAGCTTTAAATATAATAAATATTATTTCAGGCCGAATTAATTGCGATATTGGAAAAATTATGGGTAATTTAGCAGAATATCGTTCAAAACAAGGTTTATATAAAGGAGCTGGCATATGGGAGAGCTCAATCCATATCAAACCACTCATTTGGTGGAAAGGGTTGTGTACAAATCAACC